CTGCTGTTCACCTAGTCCTTTTCCTTTCAGGGTTCAAAAATGTGAAGCCAATGAATCATCTTTTTCTTGTCTTCTTATCCTATTTGTTAATGCTGGAAGATCGGGCTTGTACCGAGCATGAATAAAGCCCAATACGTATGTCTAAGACACAACATTGAATTCAAAATATTAATTTTTAAGTTTATTATCTTCACATATGTACTAATCTTATGCATGCTTATCCCGTGTAGGACAATCAAACCTCACAAGTGAATCCCAACGATTCTCCAATTGCAATTTAGCTCCCCGTGAAAGTAACACCATGTCATTCTCAATGTCCATGCGCAATTTACGTAGGATGATTTCTTAATATACCTACAGGGAAACCAGCGCAGCATGGTTACCCTGGACAAACTCATAGGACTCCATACCCTTCATACTTCAGTACCCTTTTCTAATGCCTTCTAGGGTTCGACTTTTAGGGTATGCGTCAAAAAAAAAAAAAATAATTTTTTTAAGTATATTAGACTAACATGCGAAATGTGCTATTAAGATCACTCAAATTAATTTAAAGGTGTATAAAAACTCCCACAAACAATAATTAGATGATCAACTTGCAAGCACGTACTTATTCAACAGCCAACAGTGTGACTACTTCCGAGGGCAGGGATTAAACTCTCCAAAACCTTAGGTCAATTTATATTCTCAGAATATGTGGGATTCTGACAGAATAGAAGGCAGCTTATGCTTTCTGATTAATGACATACCTTTCTTCTTTTTATTTATTTTTATTTTTTGATTTTGAGGTGCACAATTTATTTATTTATTAATTTTTTTTAACAGTTATGGGGTTCTTAGGACTGATTTCTTTCTGGCTTTGATTAAAGACATCATCCCCATTAAAATTTTAAAAATCAAACCTTGGATTAATATCAATTTCATAATGGGCTCGGCTTTGACCCAAAACTTTAATAGATGCCCAATATGCATGTCTTGTGGGTTTCTGTCCTAGTTACCCGACCCAAATTCTTACGGTTCGTTTTGCGAATAACCAATTAAGGGCCTTTAAAGCTCATCCAATACGAATTTAATCAATTTTATTCAGTTAAAAATTGATTAGTGTTCCTTCTCGTTTAAAACAATGGATTTAGGTTCTGTCTCTAGATCTTAATTTCCAGCTCGTTTTTTTCTCACAAGTTTTTAAAAAGAGGAATGCTACGGGCAATCGCCACCAGCACTCGCCAATGAACACCCGCTTAGTGGCTTTTCCACGTCACCATCACTTTAGGTGAGTTATCGGAAACTTAGAATAGCCGGTTCCTTTATTTCTTTTTGGAATTGTGCAATCATCTGACGTCCTTCGTACTTCTTATTGAAAAGTCTTATCAAATCATTTTTTACTTTGTTTTGGACAACACTCCATCACTTTACAATGCTTCTTAGATATGGAGGAAAAGCTTAAGGTAAATGACATATTTAATTATTTAGTGATTTTTCAGATTATAAGAATTTTGTGCAATCATAAAATTTCATTTATTGAACTCATTTGGTTTTTATATGCAGGCGTGCAAGAGCTTCAAGCATGGGACACTTTTGAAAAAAAAGTTCACTTTTGTTTTTAGAGGATATATAATGTCCGCCTGTTGTTAATCTATTTGAGGATGAAGTTATGATACGTAAGAATTTTATCTTGTGATTAAGTTATAAAATATTTG